GTGTGTGTGTGTGTGTGTGTGTGTGTGTGTGTGTGTGTTGCAGGGGAACGATGAGGAGGCGGTGCTGGACCAGGGTAAGACAAGCTCCACCCTCAACACTAACTTTGAGAAAGAAGAACTAGAGAGTGAGTCCACAAACACACACACACACACACACACACTTTGTGTTTACAGTCAAACGTAAAGCAGCTAACATGACAGAGTATTTATACACGTTTTATCTCGTACAGTCAGTTTTTAATAAGAAGGAAACTAGAAGATTGTGACAGGTGACCTAAATGTGTTGTGATCAATCTGCAGCATCAACTTTCTAATGGTTCATTCAAGGTTAGAGAACTCTAACTCTAACTTTTCTCCGTCAGGTCACAGGGCGGTGTACGTTGGGGTTCATGTCCCTCTGGGCCGACAGAGCAGGAGGCGTCACCGTCACAGAGGACACAGACATCACCGGAAACGGCGGGACCGAGAGGACGGACGGGACTCGCCCACCAATGGTCCGGGCCTGACTATCTCATACGGTTTTAATATGAAGAACAAATGTATGAAACACGATGACGAGCGTGATTTGTCTCCATAGACACACCGTCGCAGAGAGTCCAGTTCATCCTTGGGACGGAGGACGATGACGAAGAACACATTCCCCACGACCTGTTCACGGAGCTGGACGAGCTCGCCTTCAGGGACGGAGAGCTCCAGGAGTGGAAGGAGACGGCACGGTGAAGACACGTCCCCAACTTTATTTACATTCACTTCATTCAGGACAACGATGACATGACATTTATCTACGATGTTTAATCTCCAGAGAACCGTGAAGCTGTGGAGGGAGACGACATCATGTTTACACAGTGTGTGTGTGTGTGTGTCTGTGTGTCTGTGTGTTTTCATCAGGTGGTTGAAGTTTGAGGAGGACGTAGAAGATGGTGGTGAGCGTTGGAGTAAACCGTACGTGGCGACGCTGTCGCTGCACAGTCTGTTCGAGCTGCGTTCCTGCATCATCAACGGCACCGTGCTGCTTGACATGAGAGCGAACACCATAGAGGAGATCGCAGGTCAGCGCGCCGACACAGCGTTCCCTTCTGTCACACATGTGGTTATTACGATGTCCCTGATGACCTGCTCTCTCCAGACATGGTGATCGACAGCATGCTGGCGTCAGGTCAGCTGGAGGACGGCGTTCGGGAGAAGGTGAAGGAGGCCATGCTGAGACGTCACCACCACCAGAATGAGAAGAAGCTGAGCAACCGGATCCCACTGGTTCGATCCTTCGCCGACATCGGCAAGAAACACTCCGACCCCCATTTACTGGAACGTACCGGTGAGACCACGACGCTGTCGTCATCGGTTGATTTCCAGACTCGTATAGAAATGTTGTAAATCTGCTGTGTGTGTGTGTGTGTGTGACATTAAAACCACGTGCACACACCGGACACGGGCACAAAGTGTTTCTGAGGTGTTCACTCTTTTGATCGGACACTTGGAATACGAACCCCTGCCTCTGATTGGCTGTTTGGTTCGATCACTGTCTCTTGTTCCACGTTCAGTCTGGTTTCAGAAAACATTTTCAAATCTATTAAATCTTTATTTGTTTAATGTCATATCACAAAATATCATCTGAAGGCACTTCACAGTGTGAGGTCGTTACCAGTGACATCACCACTGTCTTCTTAAATCCACGATGATTTATGTTCTAGTCTCAGCGCTCGGATCACAACTGGTCAGTTCATTTTCCTTCCAGATGTTAAAATCTGAGCGTCACTCGTCTTTCTGAAGTTTCTCTTTCACGTTTTCTCTGCTTCCCTTCTTCTCCTCAGGGGAGGGTCTGTCCTCCTCTCGTCTCTACCTCCTGCGTCGCTCCTCCAGCCCTCCCATGTCCCCTCATCTCACCAGCCTGCTCGGACGCCACCTCTTTGAGGCCTGTCCGCCCGGCCTCACCCCTTCCCTCTCTGCCTCCCTCCTCCACGCTCCTCCCTCCGGCTCTCAGCGTCGCTGCTCTGCTCCGGAGGGGCTGTGGGGGAGGATCCCTGAGGAGGAAGAGGAAGAGGAAGAGGTGAAGATGGAGGACAAACAGGATCTGATGTTTCCTCACAGTCAAACAGGCAAATCCTGGCATGACAGTGTGAACGCTCCAAACTAAACCTGCTCTGCTGTGTGAGAACTTCAACATCTGCATGTCGACTAAAACCGTTTCTTCTGACTGGTTTTGTTTGTAGAGCAAAAGAATCACAGCTGGAAAACAACTGCACAACTTTATTTAACAAACTGATTTATGACGTATACATCTTAAAGACAACTCTTCTCGTTTACAGACACAATCACCTGTGGTCAAGCGTAAACATCAGAATCCTCGTCCTGGTTCCGACAAACGACGACAGGATCATTATCGCTTTGCAAGTTTCATTAATTGTTTGAGTTTGTTGATGGAACGTTGTTTGGACGCTGCAGTTTAGTTTGTTGGTTTGTTTGTATGCGTCGTCACTTTTAAGTTCAGAGGCTCATGTGGTCACCACCTGATCTGTGGATGATCACACTTCACCTTCAGCGTATCAATGATCTGTAGACGTGAACCGAGTCATCGTCGTCTCTCCTCTGACCCCTCGTTACTGAGTGACTGTTAATGTGCTGAAGTAAAAAAAGACAGGAAGTGATGCGTGAGCAAGACGACTGACCGACCACTGACTGCTGACTCCAGTGGAACGAGAAAACCACGAATCATTCAGGTGAAGACAGAACATCAAATACTGATGAGTTTAAAAACCTGAACCAACTTGGATCTACGAACTGTTCAGTGTCACTGACGACACTTTGAACTGACGTTTAAGGGACAGTTCACTGAAAAATGACATTTCACTCACTGTGATGGGGGGAGGGGCTTCAGACATGATAACAACTGAAATAACTTGCCTCCATGTGTGGTGTCTTCAAGTGTCCGTAACATGATCTCTTCCTACGAGGTGCATTCACGGACCCTCCGACACACCCTCGTGTTTCTACGCTAGCTTAGCCACTCCCTGTGAACCTTTAGGCTTAAAACTGGGAGTTTTTCAGTGAACTATCCCTTTAAGGTCTTAAACTGAAACTTTATTCTTGTCCCTCAGTTGTCAGTCACTTGTCCTGGTTGAGTGTGATGCAGCAGTGTGGGATGATGGGAGTTGTAGTCCTCTGGTTAGGATTCCTTCAGGGTTGATGGCTCAGGAGGTTTTTAATCAGGAGCTCTTCTCCTCATGTCTCCTTCTCTCCAAAACACACAACCCCTTGTTACAACTCGGTCTCTGACACGTCTCTGACACGTCTCTGACACGTCTCTGACACGTCTCTGAGCGGCTCAGCGAAGTCGAGACAGTTAAAGTCAGATGGAGTTTCTGTTGGTTGGCAGTGACATTTAATGTGAGGCTGGATATCCACACTGTAACAGGAACTGTGTGTGTGTGTGTGTGTGTGTGTGTGTGTGTGTGTGTGTGTG